TTTTCATAGTTTTCAAGTTTAAATTTGTTTTTGGAAAACAATATGTTTATTCACATATACATGAAACAATATGTATATATAAATACTTTTTCATGTTTATATGTGCTTTCTTGAATATCAAGATTTGTATTCTTGTTTAATGTTTTGATAGATTGAAAATATATGTATTTTTTTTTCATAGTTTTCAAGTTTAAATTTGTTTTTGGAAAACAATATGTTTATTCACATATACATGAAACAATATGTATATATAAATACTTTTTCATGTTTATATGTGCTTTCTTGAATATCAAGATTTGTATTCTTGTTTAATGTTTTGATAGATTGAAAATATATGTATTTTTGATAAGTCATTGTGTTCTTGGCTTATGGACTTGATAATACATTTTTATATATTTTCCTAAGTCTATAAATCCATACAAAAGTTTCCAAATGTTTATTTATGTCAAATGTTAAAAACAAGTATTTTATGTTTTTGGATATTTTTGTAAAATGATAATATTTTACAATAGAGAAGTACAATTCCAAAACTTCTTTTTGTAACATGTTCATTTACATGTTTACAATCATTTTCCAAAGTTTTATAATTTTTAAAAATAATTTGCTATTTTTAAAAGCACTTTAAATTTTAGTTTTACTATTCATTTAGGCTGATAATATGTTATCAGTCGACTGATGCAAGTGTTCAGTCGATTGAAGAAAACACCTAGAATCATTAATAGTTTGTGATTTTATGTTGGTTGACTGACCATGCTTATCAGTCGACTGATAAGCTGTCGTTTGCCTATAACGGTCAGCTCATCAGTTGAGTGATGCAACCCGTCAGTCGACTGATTTGTCCCAACGGTTATTTTTACAGCCTTTTGTAGTTTTGTCTTTTTGCTGGATTTTCTTAGGTTTTGAGCTTTGGTTTTTCATCCTATCTATATCCCTTGCTATTTCACTTTTGAAGATCATCTAAGAGGGTTTTAAAATAAAGTTTAAAAGAGTGTTAAAGTTTGTTTAAGTTTCTTGAGTTTGTGTTACAAAGAGGGAGCTTACAATTTCAATTGAGAAATTCATCCTCAATCTTCTTCATCCTCTATTGTGTTTATAGAGAAGTTTTTCTAACTCTTTTCTCTAGCAATTAATTACTGATTTTTATATTTTTGTTATTGCTAGTTTGTTAATTGAGTTAGATTTCATTTGTACTCATTTTATCACAAACACCCTATTTGAGCTTTTAGTATTTCATATATCATATATTGGGTAGTGGGATTGTGATACAGTGAGAGTGAGCTTATATTGTGTTCTCATCTATTGTAGAGAACAAAATCTTGTATTTAAGCTTTATTGAGAGTTACACATTGTATCACACTTGTACACCGAGAGGAGTGTGTGGTGAGAGACGAGGTCGGTTCCAAGAGGAGTTGGGTCGGTAGTAAAGCCTAGTGAGAGGTTGTAATTCCGATTACTTGAGGAAGGTGACACGGGCTAGGCCAACACTTAGAGGGTGTAGATTGTGATTATAAGTGTGTAAGTTGTAAAGTTTTTGGTAAACTAGAAAACCGAGTTATGAGGTATAAACGTTATTCGGGTGAGCGTAAAAAACCCGGTTGTGATAGTGGAAATCACCTCGAGGTGAGGACCGGAGACGTAGGTCAAGTGGTTGATCGAACTCCGTGAACATATCATGTGGTTGTGAATGTTTTTGTGCACTATCACTCTTGTTTAGTTATTGTTTGTGCATATATCCTTGCCTTAATCTATTGTATATCTATATTGTTAGATATATTCGTTAGTAAGTTTTAATCGGTATTAATATCTAATAAGATTAGCATAAACCCTATTCACCCCACCTCTAGGGTGCTTTCACTAAGCAGAGCTGACAGAAAGTTGATTGGTTTTGCAAAACATGGTGTTTAAGAAAATTGCGAGACTAGCAATCCATATAATTACTTTGCTTTCAAATTACACGAGACTGATAGTCCACTAAAATTAGCAAACAAGTTTAGAACGTGGCTTTCAACCTCTTCTCCTCTTTCTCTTTTGAGAGAGAATGAGAGACCAAACAAATTTAGAACATGGCTTTCTTCCATTCAACCCTAGCTCTCCTCCTCTAGTTCACCCTCCACCCCGCCAGCATTACCTCTTAAGGCCCCACCTCTTCCCCGTCTAGCTCTGTCTTCAACCCTCCTACCACCACCATCTATACTCAACCCACCCCTGCTCCTTCTTCAACCACCACCACTCCTACAACTCCTTCTCCAGCAACAATCTCCTGTTGCATCTACCGCAAACTCCACCTGCCCCACTTATCGTCGCATGCACCGATGCGGGCTCTGACAGCCCCTGCACCGGCTCCCATAGTTGCACCACCGATATCTGTGAAAGTTGGTCGATTTTTCTAGTTAAACCTTTTTCAGTCGATTCTGCAAATTAAAAGTTAAAATTGCTCCAGTTTAAAAATTCCGCCTTCCCTTTTCCATCACTCTCCATAAAACCAATAGCTTCCTCAAGATTACCTCAAGTTCTGATCCATTAACGCATTACAAGCCGCAACATTTACACTTTTAACTTCATTTGCTGCATAACGTTTCTAGTGACACAGAACTATTGAATCCATTAGGCAATTCTCCTCTGGTCAAAATTCCATATGTAATCACACATTAAGAAATTGAATCATTGAGAGAGAGAGAGAGAGAGAGAGAGAGAGAGAGAGAGAGAGAGAGAGATCTGTGGACGTGTTCTAAACCATCCTTAAAATAATTAACAGCTAAACATGATATGAACATGCAAGTTAGTTTATGGTGGTAATTAAAAAAAACGTCATGTCCATTAATCGATTATACACACTTTACAACATAAGAATCACATTGTTGTTTAAAGTCTACAATGTTTGTGTCCCTTTTAACGTTCTTCCCAAATCAGGAAGCCTAACAAACTGAGAAATACAAACTCCTCGATGAATTAGGAGGAGAGTCAAACAATAAATAAACGGGCCATTAAAAAAACAGGGACTAAACAATAAAAATACCTATCACCTATCGGTAATGTACACAAAAGAATGATAAAAATCATAAATCTCTATAATAAAAAAAAAGATTCTAGCCACAAGTACTGATCAGTTGTCGGCCTGTATGAGCTTCCTGACCTCTACTCACGTAGAACCTGTCTGTAAGCTGCGGAAGCTCCATGTAGTGCACTGATGGATTGCCACTCTTCAGCAACTCCAGCAAATGCAAGAAGAGATCGATATCACACGCGATCCTCAGGGCTCCGCCATAAGAGTAACCAAACTCATCAACCGAAAAATCCAGTAGTTCTTCGAACAGAGGATGACTCAGAAAATGTGCATCCAGTTCAAACCTCCGCGTCTCTTCTATTCCAACATCAACCCAGATGTGGCCTTCTTTGAGATCATTAGCAAAGCTCTTTGCTCCACAGAAGAGCACCTTCTTCACTAGGTCGCGTGTTATCGCCATGAGACAACTTGATGATGCTTGTGAGTCTCTGTTGCGTTTTGGAAGCTTAGTTTGTTTTGACGGTGTTTGACAAGTTTGTGTGAGCTGGGGTTGGGAGAGGGGGTGAGTTTATATAGGGAGGGGCAAATGTTGCTGCTGACTTAATCTGCGCATGATTTAATTAGTTTAAAACAGGCGAAGGTGGGAGGAAGCTGCTAAAAGATGAAGAGCAGAGGAGGATGGGGGAGGTGCTTAATTTAATGGGTGAAGCGTGTCTTAAATTTTTATGTTGTGAAGAGAAGATGCAGCTTTGATTGATTGAACCCACTTGAAAGACATTGGCCCCATGATAACATATGCTTTGCTTTGAAACTTACCTGGTAACTTGTGTGGAAGAGATTCGGCTCTTCTGCACTACTAAAAATTACTGGAGAAATCACTACTATTCAATAATTTCTAATTAGCCCAAGGCATTTTTTTCCCCAAGAATTCAACTTTAACATAGGATTTTGTTCAGCAGAAATCACCTTTGATTCTCGATTTATACATAAACCACGTTTAAACGAATTTTTTGTTGCAATGGAGCACTTGGACTCGCTTTTTAGTTAGATTTTTTTATTATAATAATAATTAGCTGGCAAATATCAAATATATTAGAGAGATCATGCTTAACCGAGATTAGGTAAGGTCAATTATCAAAAATATTTCACCCAAAAGGGGGCCTAGGTGATTGATTAAAACAAAAAAGAATCGCACTAAACGTGGTTTTTATATAAATTGAAAATCAAAGTTAGCTTCTATAGGACTATCCTATTTTAAAGGTGATTTCTATGAAAAACAACTTTTTGTTTTATGGGTAATTATGATTTGTCTTTGAGTGTAAACTAGGACAATAATTCACAAGGATGTGATGAGTGTTAAATATGGAAGAAGTCATAACCACCCATAACATAAATCAATGGCTATGATTAATATAATTGTCTCTCCATTACTATATTGATTGATAGTGGAGAGGATCCAATAAACATAGTTTCAATATTTTCTCATCAAGGTAGGACTACTGGTTACAACAGCAGGATTCAGTGCAGCTAGCACTGCCCTAATTTAATCCACTAATTATATTACTCTTGTTCGTTATATTTTATGCTAATAGGAATACGAACTAATAATTTAATGATTGTCAGAAGAGCATGCTACTATGCCTAACGTTCAATATTATGATAAGAATGGAGGGTTATAGTTTTATATTTCAACATGTCTCTATAGGTCTCTATAGGTTGAGGGTCCATTCTATAGAATGAAACATGGACTTACATAGCAACGCTAGTTTATGTTGATAGTTGAGGGTTATAATTTTAATAATAAAATGGAGGGCACTGCGATAGCAAAAACTCAATATTATAGGACCGGGTGGGTGGTGGGTGTGTGTGGTGTGTGGGGGGGGGGGGGGGGGGGGGGTGGGGGGGGGGTCGGGGGGGGCGGGAGGGCGGGGGGGGGGGGGGAGGGGGGGGGGGGGCTGGGGGGGGGGGGGGGGGGGGGGGTGTTTAGTTTGGTGGCTAGGTTCATTGCCGCGATGCGCTGGATGGCATATATTGCATATACGTTTGGCCATTGTTTAGTTTGTAGCTTGCTGGAGCCCTGCATGGGCTTACATCATTTGTTCGAGGAGATTTGCAACTGCTTTAATTTAGTGTAATAACTAATAATGTCCAAAAATGAAAATACATAACAGAAAGAATGGACCCAATTAAATAGAATTAAGAATACCACACACGGGATTGGAACTTGACCTGATTGTGCTATGCTCAGACCTTTAATTTCTAATTTATTAATCTCATCATGGAAGAAAGGAATAAGAATCCCTTGTACAAAAACAATAACATTACTCTGGTAAATGAAGGGGAGTAAATTTTTGTTTCAGTCCTCGTCTGGCGTTCAATTTAGTTCACAACGTACGGAGCACTAGGAACCTGACAACCCTACCGACAGGCGAGAAGGCTGGAAAAGTATGTCCAGGCCCACTGCTCATTAGCTAGCCTCTAATGATCCGTTCTCTTATTTCTTCGTTACAAGTGTGTGACTTTGATCAATTTAAAAAGCACATTACTTGTGGTTCGAAAAGAGATGGCATCAAGCATATACATTCTGTGTTTAAGGATTCAGAGAATTTTTTTTTTAGTGTAAAAAGCGGGAAAGTTTATCAGATAATTAAAAGCTTCAAACTTGTAATTGATGTAACGTGCACCGACAAGAACGCGTATCGGATTTTTTTTATGTTTTTCTTTTTATATTTATTTATTTATTTTGAGAGAGAGAGAGAGGGTAATGCGTATGGGAAGGTAATGTTAAGAGAGGAAATTCTCATCTGGCAATCTTTTGGCCTTATGAGGAGACAAATGAAGACATTACACGTGCAAAATATGTTCGCTACTGTTTTCGTTGAAAATCGTCTTCATCATTGATTTCATTAAAACTTTAGTCATTTACAAATGAATTCCAATAACGAAAATAATAATTATAACTTTTTGAAAATAAACACAAGATTCGTTTATCGTCTCTTGCTTGCGTGGGTTCTTTGCCAGTGCCGGGATTTATCCGTGGACGACTGCGGATCGGATCCGGTTAGCAGAAGATGGATAATCAATGCTTTCACTTCACGAAGGAAGTAATCGCAGCAGCGATGATCTTGACCAAGTAAGATCACAGCTCTTCTCGAAATTTAAGACCAAGCTTAAATCCGGAGGAATGGGGGATGAAACAAGTTCCGGATCTCTCGAACTCTCACTTTGATTATGGAGAAATCTTCGCTAAGATCTCTCTGAAATTCGTGCTCCACTCCTCAATCCAGCAGCACCTCGTCCTCTTGATCTCCAGGTCTGTAAAATAGAGGCCTTAGGCTCATATTTATAGGTCTCGGATGCGGGTGTTTGGATAAGAATGATGAATTCCCCTTTATCTTCAGTTAACAACTGTATAACCATAGTATCATATCAGTTGAGATGTCCAGGAACAAACAAATCCCAAAAGAATCCGTGAAAATCGAAACAAAACTAATCTTGGATCGGAACTAACCGAATGGCCCCACTTGGTGGCTCGGCCCATGGCCGAGCCACTGGCCTGGCTGAGTCGTTTTGACGCGACTCGGACACGAGGGGCTTTCTTAGTTTTCCAGGGTTTGACTTGTTCCGTTGTTTATAGGTATTTCATCGTTTCGCTGACCGATATGCTTCCTCGATTCGCTTCGTATGTTTTGTGAATGCGCGGATGAGTAAATCTTCTCAACTTGGATGATGACATTTACTGCCTCTCCTTTGTCTCGAGTTGTATACGGGAACCTATAGGCATTTTTAGACGCCTACAAATACCCCTTTCAAAGTATTTTAGACTCATTCTTTTATAGAGGAGTCTAGAATGCTTTGGATAAGATAGACCCTTTCCTTAATCTCGTAGAGGGACATGTGAACTGCTTCAATTCTTGAGTTCTTCAGCCTTCAGTCTATTTAGTATTTTGTCGAATAGATGAAGTTCTTCCGACGCTGCATTAATTATCTGACCGTTGTTGAAGCTTTGAACTGAAGTTGGTGTGTAAGTTTCTGAACTTAGCTCTTATCATTAAGTTGACTTTGAACTGATCATCTTCGTCAGAAATTTATATCTGAATGCGATTGAACTCCCTAAAATCATCCTTTGCCTTATTTTGGCGAAATTACTAATGCGTTGACAGGCGCTGACATTCATCGCAACGTGTTGATCGGCGTTGACTTTTACCGCAATGCGTTGACCAGCATTGACCTAGGGCTACGCGTTGACTGGCGTTGACCTAGGGCTACGCGTTGACCGGCGTTGATCTTAGGGTTTTGCATCGATCGGCGTTGACTTTTATCGCAACACGTTGATTGGCATTTACATAGTTTATACTCGTACGTTTACTAGAGTCTACACAGTTTAAGCTCTTAAGGTGTTAGAGCGTGGCGGTCCCAAATGTTAGGGGCTGCAGGACCAACTGTTAGAGCTGATTCATCTGCAGTTATGGATCTCATCCTGAGGATGTTGGATGCTCAAATCACGAGACCAACTAATGAAGTTGATGCGTCAGTGACTTCCGCATATATAGGATTTTTGGCAAACCCTCAGCCATAAACGGGTTTGATGAGCCTTTACCGACTACCGTTTGAGTCGGGCTAACATGCAGATTGTTAAAGTCCGTTCCGCATATGACGTTGTGCTAAAAGAGTTAACTCTTTTAGTGCTACGATATTAAATATGTAGACTTCGTCTTTCTCACGGGAGTAGACTACCCGACAACGTGTGTTAGATATAGACTTAGAATTTTTGGCAAATCCTCAACCATCAACGGATTTGACATGCTTTTACCGATTACCGTTTGAATCGGGCTTGTATGCGGATTGTTTAAGTCCGTTCCGCATGTGACGTTGTGCTAAGAGAGTTAACTCTCTTAGTGCTATGATATTGAATACGTAGACTTTATCTTTCTTACGGGAATAGACTATCCGGCAATGCGTGTTAGACGCTGACTTATTCCTACTTAGGCTTCGGGATAAAAGTCCCCAGACTTGGATTTTGGTGTCTTCTTCAATCGGTGAAAGACTAAACCGGCAACGCGTGTTAGGTGTTGACTTATCCCTGCTTAGGATTCGAGATAAAATTCCCCGCGCGTGTAAGGCAAGGATTATGGCGTTATTAATAACAGCCTGCCACAATGTTGAATATGTGGGTTTTTATCCTTTTTACAGTCAAAGACTAACCGACAACGCGTGTAAGGCACTGATTTATCCCTACTTAGGCTTCGGGATAAAAGTCTCCAGACTTGAATTCTGGTGTCTTCTTTAATCGGTGAAAGACTAAACCGACAACGCGTGTTAGGCGTTGACTTACCCCTTCTTAGGATTCGGGATAAAATTCCCCACGCGTGTAAGGCACGGATTATGGTGTTATTAATAATAGCATGCCATAATGTTGAATATGTAGGCTTTTATCCTTTTTACAATCAAAGACTAAAC